AATAATTATGTGCTAGTTTAAGACATTACACCGATTTTGTGGGTTGAAACCTAAATTTCTTTGGGTTTTAGCGTCTTTTCTCTTATTCGAAATTAACCTGTTTAGTTTTTGTGTTTTGTTTGCATTTAATTTATCAACTTTCTTGCACTTTTCGCGGAGCTCGCACAAGACACGTCCACTCTCTTCAGCGGTCGGATATTTTATAATTTACTTTTTATACCCGTTACTCGTAGAGTAAAAGGGTATACTAGATTCGTCGGAAAGTATGTAACAGGCAGAAGGAAGCGTTTCCGACCCCATAAAGTATATATATTATTGATCAGGATCACTAGCCGAGTCGATCTAGCCATGTCCGTCTGTCCGTCTGTCCGTCTGTCTGTCCGGATGAACGCTGAGATCTCGGAAACTTTGAGAGCTAGGCTATTGAGATTTGGCGTACAGATTCATGAGCTTCTTACGCAGCGCAAGTTTGTTTCAGTAGACTGCCACGCCCACTCTAACGCCCACAAACCGCCCAAAACTGTAACTCCTACAGTTTTGATGCTAGATAGAAAATTTTAACTGAAATCTATTGTTCTCATCAATACCTATCGATTGACCTAAAAAAAAGTTGCCACGCCCACTTAAACGCCCACAAACCGCGAAAACCTGTGACGCCCGCAATTTGCATGCTAGATAAAAAATTAACTGAAATGTATTGCTGTCGTCAATACCTATCGATTGATCCAAAAATAAATTTGCCACGCCCACTCTAACGCCCATAACGCTTAAATCTGTCTACCGCCGGTAGGTGGCGCATTTTAATCTCGCTTTGCTGCTTGCATATCTCCATTTCCCTTTGAGTAACGGGTATCTGATAGTCGAGGTACTCGACTATAGCGTTCTTCCTTGTTACAATTGAAATATTTGGTTATCTATTGCTTACAATCTAGTACATATACATATGTATACAATTCATTATTATACTATACTACTATTTTTCATCCAATGTCGAATGTTATTAACACTCCAAACACCCTGATATGGGTTTCGAGATAACTGAAACCCATCAACATCTTTGATCAAATATCTGTCATTTTTCAAAATCTTCTCAATTACATAAGGTCCCTTGTTCTTCGGAATAAGTTTTCTCGCTACACCCGCCGTACTATCAAAGTTCTTAACCATGACATAATCACCTTCTCTGAATTCGGTTGCGTTTTTTCTTCTCGCATTGTAGTATGCTTCATTTTTCCTCTGCGAATGTACTTGTGTTTCTTCAGCTTCTTTCCTAATATCTTCTAACGTTTTCCTACCCTCTATTTCATAACTACTCTCCTCTAATCTTTCCCTTAACTCATCACAAACTTTCCCCCTTTGAGTTATGCCAAACAGCGTTTCACTAGGCCGCTGCTTAATACTATTGTGAATTGTATTATTCATAGAATACTCTACTTTTTCAATGACATTATCCCAATAACTTCGCTATCATAGGTCCTAGGCTTCTATTGATTCGCTCAACTTGGCCGTTGGTCCGATCCCGTTGCAATTTTAATATGCTTTATGTTATTTTCCTCCATAAATTTAGCAAAATCTGTCGAAGTAAAGCAGCTTCCGCGATCTGAAATAACACATTTGGGCCTGCTATAAGCTCGAAAGTAATCTGTCATTGCATTTACTGCCTCTTTCGTATTCGTTGTTTTGGTCGTATACAGCCTAACAAGTTTTGTGAACGCATCAACAACAGCTAATATGTGCATCTTCGATCTACTCTTATCCACAGGGCCATAATGATCTATATGAATGATTTCGAAAGGCTTATTGCCCTTTGGGATACTGTGCAAGTATCCATCACCTTTGCCTACCTTTGGAGAATATGCTATACATTTCAAACAATTTTGAACATGATCAGAAACTTTACTCTTCATGTTTGGAAACCAGTAGCTTTTGCCAATTGCTTCTATCATTTTTTCCTTCCTATGTGGCCTAATTCATCCTCCATCCGGTTCGGCACATAAAATAAGATCCTCTTGTCATTACTTTTCCTGTATATAACACCATTCCTCATTTCAAACCATTTGTGCTCACTATTTTCTAAAATTGTCCTAATCTCTTGTATTTTATCATCCTTTGATTGGCAAATTATTAAATTAGTTTCAAACGTGTTCGATTCTATTACCATTATGTTATTGCAACGACTCAGTGCATCCACGTGTTGCATTTGACTACCTGCCCTATGCTTTAAGTCGTAATCAAACTCCTGAAGCTCTAAAGCCCACCTTGCTATTCTTGGATTCAAATCAATTTTATTAAATGTTAACGTAAGGGAGTTGCAGTCCGTTACAATTTTGAACCGCTTGCCTTGTAAGTATATCCTAAATCTTCTTAATGCGTAAATAATGGCTAAAGTCTCCAGCTCAAAGCTGTGGTATTTCGCTTCTGTAGTTGTTGACCTTTTTGAAAAATAGAATATGGGATGCAACTTCTTGTCTGCTTTTCGTTGAAGAAGTACCGCCCCAAACCCTAAAGCACTGGCATCGCAGTGTAACTCAACTTCGTCTCTGTGATCGTATATAGCTAAAACGGGCGCTTCCATCAATTTCGCTTTCAATTGTGAAAAACAATTTAATTCATCTTCCTCAAACTTAAATACCCTATCTTTTTTCACTAAATCGTATAAAGGTTTCGCTATTATTGAAAAGTCTTTAATAAATCGGCGGAAATAAGAGCAGAGCCCCAAAAAACTTTGGACTGCTTGTACTTTAGTCGGAACTGGAAAATTTTGTATGGCTTCTAAGCCCCTATCATCAGCTTTGATTCCATCGCATGAAATCAAAATCCCCAAATATTTGACCTTGTCTTGTAAAAATTTGCATATGTCCATTCTCAATTCTAACTTATTTTCCATTAACCTTTTAAATACTTCTGCTAATATTTCGAAGTGTTCTTCCATGTTCCTACTGGCGACCAAAATGTCGTCCATATACACAACAACCTTGTCCTGTCTTATCATATCCGAAAATATATCGTTGACGAATCTTTGAAATACTTGTGGAGAAGTCTTAAGCCCCATCGGCATACGTAAAAACTCAAATTGGCCCAACGGCGTAGTAAACGATGTGTATTTTACCGACTCTTTGTTAACAAACACATGAAAGTAACCATTTTTAAGATCTAATTTATCTAACAGGTCATCAATTAAGGGAATCGGATAATTATCCTTGGCCATGATATTATTTAAGCGTCTAAAATCTATGCACAGTCTAAGATCTCCCGACTTCTTTTTAACTAATACAATCGGAGAGGCATACTCCGATCTACTAGCTTGAATAATGCCATCCTTAATATATTCATCTAACATTTTCTGCAACACATCCTTTTCACTGTACGAAAGTCTTCTAGGTACACAACTAAATGGCTTAGAATTTTCTAACACGATGTTCATTTCACATTTAATATTTGGATTTTCAGGTCGCTTTACCTGGACATACCTTTTTTCCACTAATTCAATTAATTTCTTTTGGTCTATATAGCTAACTTGTTCACCAATATTATAGACACTTTCCTTTTCCGAATCTTCTACCACAATTATTTCCATCATCTGTTGCTCAAAACTATCAAAAATTGTTTGCTTTTCTACTTTTAAAATTTTACTTTCTAAAGTTTCTTCTAAAATTTTGCTTTCTAATTTTTCACCACCTATCAGTTCATACCCTAACATCTCATTTCCTAACTTTTCACTTCCTAATATTTCACTGCCTAACAATTTATCCTCTAACATCTCATTCCCTAACTTTTCACTTCCTAATATTTCACTATCTAACATTTTATCCTCTAAGATCTCATTTCCTAACTTTTCATTTCCTTCACACTCCAAATCTTTTCTTAAATTGCAAGGCACCTTATAAATTGACCCAATTTTTCTATTATCTTGGGTCTCAGTACTCTCTACAGTTATTATATTTAAAGTTTCTAAATTAATTTCCAAATCGCAGGCTTTCATAAAATCTCTACCCAGCACAATATTACAACCCATAGATTCATCAGCCACAACAATTAAATTAAAAAAAATGTTTATTTCTTTTTTCAATTTAAAACATAATATTTTTCCTTCGCTTTTCAATAAGCTTTTGTTTAATCCGAAGTAAGTCTCATTTTGTGGATCTAATTTAATATTTTTCGGCACAACCGAATGTTTGATTAGCGATACTGGGCTTCCTGAATCTATTAGACATTCTGTAATAATTGGCTGGTTAGGGTTTTCAAAACAAAAAATTTTAAACAACCTTACATAGTAATTGACATCTTGCTTCTTATTTTGAGGACATCCGTTGATGAAATGATCCGTAGCACGTCCCTGGTGTTCTCTTCGGTTTGGCGCACTCTCGAGCTCAATGCCCCTTTCCGTTGCAGTTGTAGCAACGCGTCTCCTTGCTCGCCGGATCGGCTTTCGAAGACTGCATCTTGTTGCTCCCAGCAGCCCTTGTTGGCAGCATTATGTCAGCGAAAGCTCTAAGCATCCTTCCAGGATTCTCAAAGCACTGTAACTTGGCCTGCGTGCGTAAGTTAATCGTCGGTATGCCAACAATTAGTCCATCCAGTAGCTCGTCCTCCTCCATGTTGACATCTCGGGCCAGCCTTCTCTTCTCTTCAAAGTACATCGCAAATTTTTCATTCGGTTGCCACAGACGCGCTTCAAATTTTCGCCTTATGTCTGCCTTCGACTCGTTACCACCAAAAGCATGTTGTAATTGCTGCAGCAACTCATTCGTTGGTTTAACAAAACGAGAAGGATCCGCATGCATCCACTCCAAAGCGCTGCCTTTTAGTTTGCTGATCAGCAACACTCTTCGCTGGGTGTCCGATAGGTCATACAACGAGGATATGTTGTCCCATTGGGAGATCCAGGATCGTACAGGAATCTTCTCGGCAAAGTCCATCAAAATTTCCTTGGCTAGATTAAATCCAGCTGACGAAAACTCAGCCCTTCTCGAAATTTCCTTGTCCAATTTTCGTAGAACCGCTGCTTCGCTCGCCAACTCGCTCTCGCCTGTTCTCGGAATTCTCCGAACTGTTGGTTGCCATGCCAACTCGTTCTTGCCCGTTCTCGGAATTCTTCGAACCGCTGCTTGCCTTGCCATCTCGTTCTTGCCCGTTCTCGGAATTCTCCGAACCGCTGCTTGACTTGCCATCTCGTTCATGCCCGTTCTTGGAATTCTCCGAACTCTTGCTTGCGCCGCCGTCCGACTTCGTAAAATTCTGTGAATTGTGGCTTTTGGCTCCACTGGCTGAACTAACGCTGTCGACTTGCTTATGCAGAAATTCTAGAAATTTCTGGGCCTTCTCGATTTCCAAGCGCAACTTGTCCATGGTTTCTAAGCCACAAATCGGCTCCATCGGACCTTGTGACTCGATATTTTCGTCTTCCGAGTCTGTAGTCACCGTGTCCACAATTTCTCCGACTTCCTGATCGACTTGAGGGACGACTCCCCGATTTTCCGGCGGAACACTGCTGTCGCGAAAAAAGTTCGGCCTTGGATCCAGTTGTCGGCAACTTAAGGAGTTCCAACCACCTTTTTAGTTGTGTCACAGACACGTCACTAATTTGGGTATCCATTTCACTGTTTAAGTTTTTATAGATTTTTTTCCGGTATCCCACTTCTGAGATTGTATCAGGATTAAGTTCACAAACGGTTTGTAGTTCCACGTCTTCTTTATTCGCACTCTCGTTTTGAACTAACTCGCTGCTCGCAGGCAACTCTCTTTTCAACCCCCGTTTTCAGGTTCTCTTGAGAGAGCCTCTCCTCTCCCGAGGATCGAATAGTGTGACCAGAGCAGACTCATATACTCTGCCCTGTTCATATAACTTTGAGTATAACAATATAATACTTAGAACTAGTGTATTGCATCTAAACTAGCACGCCTGTTACAATATATAATAGCCAGCCTGTTACAAATTGTAGATATTTTTTCGGGGTCTGTTTTGATTACATTGTGAGAAACAACCTAACCCAAAAATGTGGTTTCTAATTTGAAGAACTTTGATTTTTCAATTGAAATTTTCATATTTGCGTTCAGCAATATATTAATTATGACGATTATGTCCTTGTAGTGTTGTTCTATTGTTTTAGAAAATATAATAATGTCATCCATATATACATACAAAATGTCATTCATTGCACCTTGGAATATTCTGGGAGCGTTCGATAGCCCAAATGGCATTCTCAAGAATTCATATTTTCCGTTGTATATAGAAAATGAAGTTTTTTCAATGTCTGTCTCTTTCATGAGAACCTGGTGAAACCCAGACTCCAAGTTGATCGTGGAAAAGTATTTTGCTTTTCCAAGGTTTGACAAAATCACCGAAGGATCTTGCATTGGATATCTGTCCGGTGTTTATACCCGTTACTCGTAGAGTAAAAGGGTATACTAGATTCGTCGGAAAGTATGTAACAGGCAGAAGGAAGCGTTTCCGACCCCACAAAGTATATATATTCTTGATCAGGATCACTAGCCGAGTCGATCTAGCCATGTCCGTCTGTCCGTCTGTCTGTCCGTCCGGATGAACGCTGAGATCTCGGAAACTATGGGAGCTAGGCTATTGATATTTGGCGTGCAGATTCCTGAGCTTCTTACGCAGCGCAAGTTTGTTTCAGCAGAGTGCCACGCCCACTCTAACGCCCACAAACCGCCCAAAACTGTGGCTCCTACACTTTTGATGCTAGAATACAAATTTTAGCTGAAATGTATTGTTCTCATCAATACCTATCGATTGACTTAAAAAAAAGTTTGTTACGCCCACTTTAACGCCCACAAACCTAAACCTCTCACGCCCACAATTTTCATGCTAGATAAAAAATTTTAAAATTTTTAAAATTTGCCACGCCCACTCTAACGCCCATAACGCTTAAATCTGTATACCGCCGGTAGGTGGCGCATTTTAATCTCGCTTTGCTGCTTGCATATCTCCATTTAGCTGAGTTACCGGTATCTGATAGTCGAGGTACTCGACTATAGCGTTCTTCCTTGTTTCATTTAGGTTCTTATAGTCTATAAGTAATCTGAGCTTTGCAGTACCATCTTCATTAAAACCCTTTTTTGGTACTACTAAAACTGGAGAATTATAAGGGCTTTTTCTTGGTCTTATAATTCCTTCTTTTAACATGCGATTAACTTCAGAGTTTACAAAATCTGAAGCCGATAGAGCATACGGATACTGTTTTCTATAAATAGCTCTGTCGTTTTCCTGAAAGGGACTTGCATGTTTATTTTCGAGTGCTCTTTATTGATAATATTTATTATCTCATTTTCCGAATCCATTCTTTGGTTGATTGGTGTCGGATAATTCAACGACGGCTTGTTCAGGATTTTTCAATCCCAAACTTGAAATTTTGTCTGATACTTCAACGATGGCGTGCTCAGGATTTTTGGATCCCAAGCTTGTAGTTTTGTCAGATACTTCAACGACGGCGTGCTCAGGATATTTAAATCACAAACTTGTTTTGCTTTGATTTGCCTCTTCAGACCTTGGCCTTTTCATCAAAGTATATTCGTATAATAAATTTCTTTAATGGAAGAATGGTTTTTTCTTCGGATAAGGAAAGTTGGTTAAAAGAGCTGTCATTATCATAAATTAATTTTTCTTCTTTGCCCCCATATCTTATTACTCCTTTTTCTGTGTCTATTACAGCTCCTATTTTTTTCAATAGGTTATACCCTATTAGAAAGTCTGATTTTAACCCATCTATTTCATATAATGTGTAACGAGTATCAAAGATCGTTACCATGTGATAATATTTAATTATAGAATATCCATTGACCGTAGATACTCTTTTATATATAGGAAGCTCGTTTTTGTTTTTATATATCCCTATTCTGATATAGCAGGAGCTTGCTCCTGTGTCAATTAAAATTTTAAGTTTTGTATTTATCTTGCTATCATATCTTGTTAAGTAGGGTAGTCCTACTCCGGATTCTGGCCTAAAAAATGGTCCTCTTCGATATTATTTAATAGCATAGTTTTATTAGCCGGTTGGTTCTCTTTTGTTCTGCGCACTATTTTGCGGAGTTGTTTGTGTCTCCTGCTTTTTATTTTGATACCATTTATTCTGGTTATAGTTGTTGTTCCTCTAACTGTTATAACCCTGATTGTACTTGGGCCTATTCTGAATCTGTAAAGATACATCTACTTCCATCGGTTCTGGCTTGTTTTGTTGAGCTTTATTAGAATTCCATTGATTATGGGAATTATATTGAGGACTATACTGTCTGCCCTGATTTAAATTTTGATTTTTATTCTGATTATAATTGTTTCTATTTTGGCTATCGGGTTGGTTGAACCTCAAGTTGTTAGTATTCCTCTGATTGCTATTATAGTTATAATGGTTACCTTGCCTGGGATTTTTATTTGAGTTTTGGCACCCGAATAAATTTGACTCATAATTCTTGCGCTGTGATGATGTAAAATAGTTTGTGAATTGAGACCTCAAATTATTGCTTTCTAGTTCTTGTACTATTACCATAGCGTTCGGTAAGTCTGGTGGATTCATAGAAAATATTACGTCTGAGATATGGCCGTTGAGGCCAGTTATGAATACCTTTAGTGCTGTCTCTTTGTGTTTTTCGTTAATTTCAGCAGTCAATGGTTTATATCTGCCGTAAGTCATAATGGTTTTATTTATTAGAAGAGTTAGTTTTTTTTTAACTAACCCATAACAATCCATTATGGAATCCTTCGCTATCTGCTGATTCCCTCTTCTTCGCCTTTAAATTCCCTGGCCTATTTGATAATTTCGAATGAAGTTTCACATTTAAAATTTGGGTCAATGACTTCTACTAGAAAATCTTCAACCTTTTTTATATATTGATTTAGTTGTGCTTTTAAACTCACGATCTCATTCCTTAAAGGACTCAACTCATTATTTACAATATGTGCAATAAAATCGCTCACTTGGTTATTAGCTTGCCTGCTAGAAACCATTGCAGGTTGGGGTAGAGGCATGGTGAGAATTCCTTCAAAATCGTTAGTTAGGTCTTCCACCTTGTTTGATTTTATTTAAAATTTTTTCTTATAGTACTTAAATAAAATATAAAAAAATAAACAGTATACGCTCACTAATTGTCTTCTTTTTTTCCTGGGTTTAATATGAGGTCTTCTGTCTTCCTTGATGATCCTGCTGTGGTCGTCCTTCTTGGTTGTTTTGGCGAGGGCTGGCCCTCAGCTCTTCCTTCAATTTATTTTTGTTGGTTGTTAATTTTGAGCGAGGGATTGCCCTCAGCTCTTCCTTCGGTTTGTTTTCTGATCGTCACTATTTAGCGAGGGATTGCCCTCAGCTCTTCCTTCTTGGATTTGTAATTGTATTTGCCTTTTATTTCTCAGTTGAAATTTTTTGTATCAACTTTCAATTTCACAGTTTTACAATTTTTGTTTAATTTTGTGAAGTATTTTTTGAGACCGTTTAGTTTTTTTGTTGAACAGCAGGTTTATTATGTCGATTACTAATTAGCGGATTGTTGTAGGCAAAGGGGATTATTTCATTTATTGATTTCCTCCTTTGTTTTCAACGCGAACTTTTTTCTTTTCGGATGGTTAGGTTTTTATTTGACCACGCAAGTTCCTTTTTACTTTAAAACAGTTAGTGATTTATTTTAGAGCTTTTGATTAGAACAATTTAAGCGTGGCCCCACGTTGGGCGCCACTTAATTTTTTCACTTGCGAATATTTAAAAAAAAAATATTTTTATTTTTTATTTAATAAGTTACAACTTTACAACTTTTCCTTAATACCGACTTTTACTCTACTGATCACAATATTTCTTCTATTGAACCGATCTTCTCGGATGCAAGAACGGACTGCCTGGCCAAGGGCCGATTATCTGATAAACAAACCTCGGTTTAAAATAATTGGGGAACTCATTAAGAGTTGGACAAGGGTTGGACTCAAATCAAATTATCTGCTCGATTGCTAAACGGTTTACGCTGCAGTTTTGGGGCTCGCCGGGTGTTGACCGGATGCTTGTGTTTACATTAGCTGGACCCAGCTTAGTTTGAATCATAATAATGAACTTCGATTGAAGTGGGGGAGCTAATTGGGACTCTGTGGGAACGCTGAGTAAGGGGTTCCCAGCTAAGAATTGTTTATAAGAAATTGTTTAAGACTTGGGTAAGGCGGATGGGCGCTCGAGCTGGAAGGCGCTCTCAGCTAAGAATTGTATATGAAGAGTTTGTTTATAAATTGGGTAAGGATTGGGATCATGAGCTGGATAACTTGCACACAACATAGCGAAGTATTTGGATTGTACTCGTTGAGTACAAATAATTTTTATAAACAAAAGCTAAGATTGAAGGATAAAGAACCGGTTTATATCAAG